CCCCCAATCCCCATTTTCCCCCCCTAAATTCCCATTTTTCCCCCCCCAATTCCCGTTTTTCCCAAATCCGGCCGTTTTGGCCCCGATTCCCGCAGTTACCTGCAGGGCTGGAAGAAAACGCTGCTGGTGGTGTCGCACGACCAGGGGTTCCTGGACGACGTCTGCACCGACATCATCCACCTGGATTCCCAGAGGCTGCACTACTACCGCGGGAATTACAGTGAGGATTCCCGGGATTTGGGTGGAAAAAGGGAGAAAACGGGAAAAAACGGGGAAAAAATAGCAAAAAATGGGAAAAAATGGGAAAAAACGGGAAAAAAAAGGGACAAAATGGAAAAAAACTGAGGAAATGGGAGCTGATCCACCTGGATTCCCAGAGATTGCAGTGCTACCGTGGGAATTACAGTGAGGATTCCCGGGATTTGGGTGGAAAAAGGGAAAAAACGGGAAAAAACGGGGGGAAAATAGCAAAAAATGGGAAAAAACGGGAAAAAAATGGGGAAAATGGGAAAAAAACGGGGGAAATGGGAGCTGATCCACCTGGATTCCCAGAGATTGCACTGCTACCGTGGGAATTACAGTGAGGATTCCCAGAATTCCGGGAATTTTGGGTGGAAAAAGGGCAAAAATGTGAGAAAAGAAGGAAAAAAATGGGAAAAAATGGGAAAAACGGGAAATAAAAGGGGAAGAATGGGGGGAAAAGAGGGAAAAATGGGGGGAAATGTGGGAATGGAAGGGAAAAACCGGGATTGGGGCCCGGAAGGAGCCGGAATTCCCGGGAATTTTGGGATTGCAGTGACCTTTAAGAAGATGTACCAGCAGAAACAGAAAGAGCTGATGAAACAATTCGAGAAGCAGGAGAAGAAACTGCGAGACCTCAAAGCCGGGGGGAAATCCACCAAGCAGGCGGTGAGGGATTCCCGGGAGCCCCAAATCCCCGGGATCTGAGCCCAAAATCCCTGGGAATTCAACCCCAAATCCCCGGGATCTGAGCCCAAAATCCCTGGGAATTCAACCCCAAATCCCCGGGATCTGAGCCCAAAATCCCTGGGAATTCAACCGCAAAATCCCCAGAATTGGGACCCCAAAATCCCTGGGAATTGAGACTAAAAACCCTGGAATTTTCAGCTCCAAATCCCAGGAATTTCAACCCCAAAATCCCAGGAATTTGAGTCCTAAAACTCCTGGAATTTCATTCCCATAATCCCTGGAATTTCAGACCCAAAATCTCCAGAATTGTGGCCCCAAAACCCCTTGAATTTCATCCCCAAAACCCCTGGAATTTCACCCCCAAAATCCCTGGAATTTCAACCCCAAAATCTCAGGAATTTAAGACTCCGCATCCCAGGAATTTCACCCGCAAATCCCAGGAAGTTCAACCCCCAAATCCCTGGAATTTTAGACTCAAAATCCCCAGGATTTCAACCCCCAAAACCCCTGGAATCTCAACCCCAAAATCCCAGAAATTTCAACCCCAACCCCCCAGGAATTTCGTCCCCGAATCCCTGGAATCTTGACCCCAAAACCCCTGGAATTTTCAGCTCCAAATCCCTGGAATTTCAACCGATCCCAAAGAATCCCGAACTGGGGGGGG